TTAGTTTAGGTGCCTTTCTTTTAATTTTGGTTCACAGCCATACTGGATCTGTTCCCAAAACTCCACGAATTAACAGGCAGCTTCATTCAAAGGTGTAGTGGCAAACCTTATCAAAGGTATAGTGGCAAACCTAATCCATAATTAGTAAGTGCGCTACTTGGGAACATAAAGCTTCCTTGCAGTATTGATGAGAAGAGAGTATCTGTAGCCCGGATCAAGTTGATTTAAATCATGACTTAAATCATGATTTAAATCATTAGTAAATAAAAATCAACTCCATTTAAATCATAATGTTTAAAGAGCAACTGTCATCTGTGTCTCACAGCGGTTCCTCCTCTGACCAGCTGTTGACTCATCGACAGTCTCAATATTGCAGAATATACAGCCTCAAGCCAAATAATTAGGCTCCATTTCATGCTGAATAAACTATCGTATTTTTCAGAGTATAAGTATAAGATGCACCTTTTTCCCTCTAGAAAGAGGCTGAAAATCTGGGTGCGTCTTATACACTAAATACAGCATTTTTTGCCTCCCGAAGGCCCGCCCCTTCACCAAAATGGCCGTGCATAGCCTTATGGAAGCTTTCAGAGAGCTCCTGGGGGCTGGAGAGGGCAGAAATGAGCAAAAAAATGCCCTGTTTTTTGTCCCCCCCCCCCCAGCAGCACTCTATAAGCCTCCATAAGGCTATGCATGCAATTTTTTTGGCAAAAAACGGTCCGTTTTTGCAAAAAACGGCCCATTTTTTGCTCTTTTTCCCCCCCCCCCCAGGAGCACTCTGCAAGCCCCCTCAAGGCTAATGCCTTTTTTAAAAAAAGGCCCATTTTTGTGAAAAACAGGCCGTTTTGGGGAGGTTTGCAGAGAGTAAAAACTTTTTTTTTCCCTTTCAGAAATTGATGAGAATTACATTGGTCAAGTGCTGTGCCAGCAGAAACAAAGTTTTAGGTGCTACAGGTTGCCAGCTATTTCCTTCTCCAGCACATGGATAAATACACCTGGAAACATCTACCTACCTACCTACTCTCTCCTCTCCTCCCCTACCTATATACTGTATGTATATATATCCCTCTACCTACCTACCTATCTACACACACTCTCTATCCCTACCTACCTACTGTATTTCTCTCTCTCTCTCTCTCTCCCTCTATCTACCTACCTATTTTTTTTTAAAATGCCTCTTCAAAACCTGGGTGCGTCTCATACTCTTGTGCGTCTTATACTCCGAAAAATATGGTAAATTATTAATGTATCTTAAATAGAAAACTAACTTCCTCCAAAAGCATTTTATTAAAATAAATTTGATAAAAATAAAAAAATCTGATTTAATTTTTTTTTAAAAAATCATTTTTTTTAAAAAAAATCATAATTTTTTATCCACCCTGTTTGTAGCTCCAAGTTGAACTGTAGGGTCCTTTGTGCTCTTTTATCTTGTTTTCTTGCAGACATTTCATTACCTAACCAGTTACCATCATCAGTGCTAGAAGGGAGTGGGCTTTGCTCTTTGTTTATATAGGAGTGACTTGCCCTGACAGTGTTGATGGACCAAAATGTTGTTGAATCACAAACACTCCACTTGCACTGATAGGGCAAGCTGCTTGTATATAAGCAGAAATCAACCCCATCCCTTCTAACACTGATGATGTTACCTAGCTGGGTAATGAAACGTCTGCAAGAAAACAATCAAGCTAATGGAACATCTTCAAAGCTCAGAGAGCATCAAGGACCCTTGAGGATCACGTTGTATTTTTCTCATTCTTTCTCTTCTCAACCTTATGCCGAAGGGGGTATCTCTTGATAATTCCAAAGCTATAATGTTTGCTTAATATCTTATAAGAGGATGGATAAGAAATTGGGATAAAAGCGATCCTTCCTTTTACCCTGGGTGGGAAACCAATTTCCTTCTCTTTCTGGTCACAACTTCTGAGTTTTAGTAACCAACTTCATTCTCTGCCATGTTAACTCTCTGCAGCATCTGTCACTGCCATGAATGGCTGATCATAAGTATCTTGGTAGTAATCTGAGCGCTATTAAGCAGATGGTAGCGCTAAATCCAAATGATGTAGTACATCTCCCTGGTGGACTCTGTTTCTATACTCCGCCATTATTCCATAATTCCTCTGTGATAAATCTTATGTATGCTGGAGAACATTAAATAGTGGGCTGATATCAGCAACAAAATTATCAGCAATCGTTTGCATTTGCCCCTATTCTTGACTCTGCAAAGACTAGTGTGGAAGACGGCAAAAAACCCACAAGGCTCGCAGCCCAGTGGCCTAATTTTGTGCACAGCAAGTGTTTAAAAAAAAAACCAAACAGACTACAAATACTAGGATTGTTTACAAAATGCATTTAAAACACAATTTGTGGACTACGCCTGTTACAATTCCGGTTTTCCATTTGCTTCTCTGTCCAGAAGGACTTTACAATGGAATTGTTCTGGACCTGTCAAATTAACAAATTCTTAAGGCTTTGACACTACGATTAGTGGTGTGTAGTTCAAGAAGACTTATAATGGAGTTCCCCCACTGTTATCTCACATCATTTGCAGCGCAAAGATTAATATAGGGAGCTATATGGAAACAGTGCAAAGATCAACCAGCCAGTTAAATAATAAAAACTAAGCAAGTTACAAAGGGCAGCTTTCGAGAAATGATGGTTTAAAGCATCTTAGCTACCTTCACTAACAAATATCCAGCCGCTTTATGTCTTTAATTTGGGGGATCAACATATATAGTCTGAGTATTAAACAGGTTCTCCCAAAAGAACAAAGTTCAGAGTTGTACAGCCTTCAACATCTACACCACTATTTTTTGGAATCTAGTTACTGTATTGTTGGGAGTATAAGCCGTTCTGAAGTATAAGATGCACCTAGCTTTTGGGGAGGAAACAAGATTTTTTTCTTAGCAATTTGCCTCCTTGCAGCAAACAGCAAGTTTCAGTTTCAGTACAGTCTGATTAGTACAAGCAGCTGATTGTCAGGCCTCCCAACAATCAGCTGTTTCAGGCTGCAGGAATTGCCATAGACTGTTGCTGCCTCTGCGCCCCTATTTTCGGCCTCCACATCTTGGTTTCAACCTCTCCGTGCCCCATTTTATACCCGTTCCAGGCAGCAGGGATTGGAATGGGTAGAAGATGGGATGTGGAGGCCGAAAATGAGGCACGCGGTGGCAATAGGCAATCCGTGCAGCTTGAAACAGCTGATGGTCGGGCTGTTGTGCTAATCAGGCTGTGTTGAAGTTCACCAGGCTATTCACTGTTTGCTGCAAGGAGGCAAATTGCTGGAAGGAAGAGGCCAAAGGGTGGGGACAGGTGGGTGGGACTACATTAGGTGTATAAGACGCATTCAAATTTTCACCCTTGTTCAGGGGTGTGTGTGTCTTATATTCTGAAAAATACAGTAACTGTGATTTTCTTTTTGTGCACTGACTTGTCTCAATTAAAATTATGCAAATTGATGTTAGTTTCCTTTGAACACTATTGCCCACATCATATTTCTCTATAGTCAATAGAATTGAGTGAATTTCACAAGCACAAACCCCTGTGGATCTTATATCCCTGCAGTCAGTTGTCAAAAGTAATCCCTATAAATAAATAAATCCATCTATCCAGCCATCTCTCTACTCTGCTACAATATCTGTGAATTACAATGCATTGAATTCACTTCAGAAGAACAACAGGAATGGTTAGGCAGTAGCTGTTGAAATTTGCTTCCAGTTTGTAAGATAATCCCTTAAATCATTTTAAGTCTTCACGATTACATTTTAGCTCAGCATTTTAAAGAAATTCCTTCAATGGTATTTAAAAGCTTAGCACACCTGAAATACTGTTCTCCTGCTTCAGTGCACAGGCATATAGGACCTATTTACTCCCTGGCACAAACCGCCTGCAAAGATGGCAATAAATAAATAAAAAATATTTAATTGGCGAAGGCATTTTGAAAGAGTACCACACTATTTTGTTATTTGTAAAAGTACTTCTATGCCGTTTCTTACTAGAGAAAAACCCCGAAGTCCTTTTCAATAGCCATAAAATTATCCCAAAATAAAACCAAGGGAAGTAGAAGGAAAATGAGGTGAACGTTAAATAAAAACAGGGGCATTTAAAAAAAAAAAGAAAATAGAAATAAGAATGCTAATCATCAGAGGAGAAATGATAGGCGGGGTTATAATTAAGACATCCGTGGTCTGAGTTAGCACCACACAGAGGTGAGGTCAACCGTGAATATCAACGTTATTGCAAGAAAACTCGTATCGCTAGGAGATTACAGAAAAAGAGCGCACAATCTCTCCTAAGACCACAGGCACCGCAGGCCAACATAATTGGACTTTCCGAGGGCACAAAGTCATCCTACCCAGATACCTACGTGCAATTTTACTCCAACATGAACACGTTCTTCATTTCTACAATTTTAAGCGTTGACATGATGAAAAGGGAAAGGATTGCCCTCTGGTTAGGCAGGGTGTCCTGAACTCTCCCCCAAATGCTTTGGAGCAGGGGTGTCAAACTCGATTTCATTGAGGGCTGCATCAGGGTTGTGTTTGACCTCGGGAGGGCAAGGGGCTGCGTGGCCAGCTCGATGTCACTCGTGTCAGGGGCGCCAGTGGTGGCCCAAACACTTTGCCAATGAAAGTGGGCTTCCGAATTCCGTTTTCGGCTGCGATGGCCTCGTGCAACGCTCTGCCAGAGAAAATGGAGCTTGGGAGGCCGCCCGTGTCCCTGCCGAGCTCTGTTTTTGCTGGCAGAGGCACCATGGGGCGCTCCTTTGCTCTTTCGAGGTGGTCCTGCGGGCCAGATCTAAGCATCCCGAGGGCTGGATCCGGCCTCCGGTCCTTGAGTTTGACACCCCTGCTTTGTTTTTTCGACCCCAACAACCCCATTAGCTCTCTGACATTTTCAACGGACAAAATGATCCTTCAACCCAGTCACCTACAGCTGAAACGTCTAACCCTGTTAAAAGGGTGATTCCAGCTAAGGAACAACGTGAGATGCGTTATTTTCCTTACCTTTGTGCCGAAGTGCTATAGCTGTTATCATAGGAATCGTAGCTCTGTTCATCATACGAAGTGCCGTATCCATCATCATATTCCTGTAAAGAAACGCCCACATAAAGGCAGCATTACAATTCAAGAGTTATATCAGAACATCACTTTTGTCTGTCTGAAAAAAAAAATATTTCCTGGAAACCTAAATTCACAGAGAGATGCTGGCAAGACTGATTAAGTACTCAGTAAAAGTTCAGTGGTCTCAAAAGAAGGAAAATGGAATGGCTGGTCCCGTGGCAAGCAAAATCTGAGGAGCATGTGATGGGAGGATATGGGAAGCTACTAATCAAGAGAATTACTTCATCTTTAGTTAAAGGTTCCCCTCACACATAGCGTTAGTCTTTCCGGACTCTAGGGGGCGGTTTCATCACCGTTTCAAAGCCGAAGAGCCAGCGCTTTCCGAAAATGTCTCCGTGATCATGTGGCCGGCAGGACTAAATGCCGAAGGCGCACTGAACGCTGTTACCTTCCCACCAGTGGTGGTCCCTCTTTTTCTACTTGCATTTTTTACATGCTTTCGAACTGCTAGGTTGGCAGAAGCTGGGACAAGTCACGGGAACTCACTCCATTATGCGGCGCTAGGGATTCGAACTGCCAAACTGCTGACCTTTCTGATTGACAAACTCAGAATCTTGGCCACTGAGCCAGCGCGTCCCACTTTATGTTTNTCTATTCTATTCTATTCTATTCTATCGAAGCGACATGGGTGTTTATAGTTTTATCTTGGGAAGCAGTTGTGCCTAGTTTTTCTTTTATGTACACTGAGAGGATATGCACCAAAGACAAATTCCTTGTGTCCAATCACACTTGGCCAATAAAGAATTCTATTCTATTCTATTCTATTCTGTTCTGTTCTATTCCTATTTCTACTCTATTCTAAAATGGGAGGCTCTTTTAAACTGTCATTCATGCCCGAGGCACAAAGTCATAGGGGCTTCCAAATCTGATAAAGAAATAAATACATTTTAACTGTGTTCTTTATGTATGACCGAATGAATGAATTCTAACCAGGCTCAAAACAGAACCACTAAATCAAAGTCACCACTAAGTGCCAGAAATATCACAGGCAGAATACTGACCCGCAAGTGATGAATTCATTTAATTGTCCTAAAACAAGCCAGTAGACAAAACAAAAACCCCATTTTGACCTGCACAAAAAATGGAAAAACGACAGTGTGGCTCAAAGGGTTGGATAGATTTCTTCAAACGGGTTCGTAATAAAGTTGATCTGAAAGCCAGAACACATTGGGACTTTCCAGATTTCAACGTAGATAAATCAGGGGGCTTTCAAATGGAACGGAGGCACCTCAGCTCCTGCTTCCATCCTCCTGTGTGCGGTTGTGTACGATGGGAATTGTGGGAGTTGAGTTCCCCGCATCTTCCAGCTGCCACAGTTGAGAAACGGTGACCTAAAGCAACAGCTCGCTTCCATCTTCAGGTTTATCCTAGCTTTCCAGTATACCAGAGGACCTTTAAATGAAATTAATCGATACGCGCCACTAAGCGGGAGAAGATGCGCTGAAGCACCACGGGCTCCCAGGGAGCAAAGTTTCCCAGATCACTCTTTTCTATCTCTTCGTGTAAAAGTCTGCTACTTTACTTGACCTTTGCAAAGGTTTCAACGCGGAGTTTCCGGCATGGTTCACTCACATGGAGTAACTAGGATGCCCATAGTGAAACCTTTCGTCTTCTGCATGAATAGCACTTCAGGTTCAAAGCCGCCGGTCAGCCGGAAAGAGACCTGCCTAATCGTGTTAGATCAACAGCCGTGGAGATCCATATCAGGTTAAACCTTGGGCAAGTCTGGCTGGCTTGGTGTAACACTATGAATTATGAAATCCTCCTACCTTCCCCTGGCTGAGTAAAAGGTCTCCTCCTGCATCTATGCAGCAGCTCCTTAGCAAACGAAAGCTGCCTATTTTTTTTATTTTTTATTTTAGTAAAGATGCTAAGACAAGAGATGGCAAATCTTTTTGGCACCGAGTGCCCAAACCAGAACACCTGTGCGGGCACGTGCATGTGTGCGCACTGGAGTGCCAGAAACCCGAACACCAGCTGGCCAGCATGCACACACGTCCTTTGGATGATTTTCGATCTGTTTTCAGGCCGTTTTTGTGCCATTTTTGGCCTAAATAACAGCCCAAAAATGCCCTGAAAAATTGCCTGATTTTTGGCTGTTTTTCTGGGCCATTTTCGGGCTGTTTTTTGGGTTATTTTCAGGCCGTTTTTGGGTCATTTTCAGGCAGTTTTTTGGGCAGTTTTCAAGCACTCCAGCACCCGCGAAGACCAGCTGGCTGGCGGGCCAGAATCCAGAAGACCAGCTGGCGATGGCATGCGTGCCCACAGGGAGGGCTCTGTGTGCCACTTATGGCATGTGCGCCATAGGTTCGCCATCACAGTGTTAAGATGTTGCTACCTTCCCACCAAAGGTGGTACCTATTTTTCTACTCGCGTTTTCTTTACGTGCTTTCAAACTGCTAGGTTGGCAGAAGCTGGGACAAACGACGGAGCTCGGGATTCGAACCGTCGACCTTTCTGATCGACAAGCTCAGCAGCCACTGAGCCACCGCGTCCCTCTAGCCAAGGCAGACAAAATGGGGCACAACTCATTCAACAACTATCTCACTTAGCAAAAGAAATTTTGGGCTCAAGGGGGGGTTTGTAAGTTGAGGAGCCCCTGTGTTTTCTAGCATCTCGAGGCCAACTCCAAGGATGACGGATGAGGCAGCTTGGGTTTTTCTAATAAAAAAGATCTTTCCAAGCCTTTCCTGTCGTTGGAGATTAGCAGGACAGTATCTAATCAAAAGCGACCCCCCGTTTCTTCGGCTGTGGCTTTTCTGCTTTACTCATTTGTGCATTTTTTTTATTTTCTTTTTGTGGCGAGGTAGCTTAACGTCAGCAAGAACATCCATCCTGATTTTCATCCTTTCTTCCAGTCTGGCACTTGCAGTCAGCTTTCATCCCCTACAGCTAATGGTGGCTTGGTTGTCTCCCAAGCAATTAAAACAAATATAAGCAGGATAATCTCCAGCTGCAGCATAATCTTAAAATGCCTTTTATCTCCGAGAATAGCATGTCCCAGCCCTCGCCATACAAAACACTCTCGGGCCTCACAAAGAATAAGCCTTCGGATGATCCCTTTTTAAAGGACTAATTTTTCCTCGGCTTTTCTTCACCCCAAGCTGGGCGCCTCCGAACATATTTATTTTTATTGACTGATGTTTATTTTTATTTTTTTTAGGCCACTCATCATCTTAATCCCTGGGTGTTGTACAAAAGGGAACGCTGGAAGAATTCTACACATCTTGAATTTATTTATTTATCCAATTTCTCTAGCCTCCTGTACTCAATCCAATTGATCGCAATTAAAACCACAGCAATTAAAACCACAAAAAAGTGATTGTACATTGTTTGAGAGACCACAATTGGCTAGAGTCAGGATGGCAAATTTGTGGCACGCAGAGCCCTCTCTACGGACACGCCAACTGTCACCCCAGCCCAGCTCTACCGCAAATGCGTGTGCACCTCCCACTGGCCATCTGGTCTTCGGGTCTCTGCTGCCCATTGTGGTGAGTGGGGCGCATGCTTGGGGGTTGTTTGCATTGCATTTTGGGGCCTTACACAACGTTCCCGTGCCCTGTTTGGACTTCCAGGTTGGGGCAGGAGACTTTCCAGGCCCAAAAAGTGGCACAGAGGGGGTCGCACACGCATGCACGGGTGGTGGGGCGCACGGGGCGCGCATGTGCATTGCATTATGGATTGCGGGCATGCAGGCACTTTTGGCACACAATGACAAAAAGGTCAGCCATCACTGGGCTAGAGCAAGAAAATATGGCACCCTATAGCAATTTTTTTTTTTTAAATTTATAGGCACTTCAGTGCTTAAACTGTTTCTACCTTCTAAAATCTGCTGCCATTTTGCTGGATGGGGAATTCTGGGAGTTGAAGTCCAGCTTGAAAAATCTGACTCTTACACACTCTTCTTTAGCTGTGGCCTTTCTGAACATTTTCATGCCCTGACGAAGAATTAAATTGGTTTGCAGGAATTGGGTATGTCTAGTTAAATGAAAAGAAGGACTAGGGATGACATGATAGTTTTCCGATATTTGAGAGGGTGCCCCAAAGAATTGGGGAGTCAACCTATTCTCTAAACCATCTTAAA